TGTTGAGAATCGCGCGCATTTTTCCCGCTAAATTTTAGTATAAAAGGTGCCCACTTAATTCCAATCTGATGAGGAAACCGCAATAAGTGTATCTCGAAAACTAGACGTGCCAGATTTGGATAAAGTGGCCCAAAAACCTTGGAAAAAAGTTCTATTCTCTGTGGTTGTTTCTTGTTGTTGCATAGTGTAATCATGTTCAAACATTTGATGAAGCTCAATAACAAAATTCCTTTGATGGATACGTGTAGCTGATACAATTTGTGGAAATTGATAGCAAAAAAATGGAATACGTTCGAAAACATTTTAAAATCCGATGTAACTGGTTCGTAATTTGGTTATTTTCAGCTGTTGCTAATTGTTTCCTCACACACTCATTGTTTTTTGTGTACACTTTTGTTCTCCAAAACCGAGCCATCATTTCACCAGTTCCGTAGTACCTATTCACTGGGATACCCAAAACTCATGCTATCTCGCTCACACTTACGTGCAGATGAAACTAACGAATGAAAAATAAAATGCATTTTTCTCAAATTTTCAAATTTATTCGGTTCTTTTGTTGAACATCAAATGACAGGAACAAAAAATGAGACGGTATTCAGGTTTTTCAGACGCCTGAAATTACTTTTTTCAAGCCTATATTCTTCTTCTTTGATTACATCTTACCCTTGGCTTCCGGATCCAATCGAGCAACGGTACAATCGGTTGAAAAATAACCGGTTTATCAGGAAAACGAAATATGGTCATGCCCACGAGTTTGTTATTCTTTTTCGAAACCATTGGTCCTCCGAACGTAAAGGGAGTTCCCATGCTTTCATCTAAAGTGTAACACATCAATTGATTTGCATCAAATCGGTCGCCCAACTTCGATTCGCAAATGGCACTATTCAAATACTTTATATCAAAACGTCTCGTTCTCTCTGTTCCATCCAATGTCATATCACCATAGACAGAGACTATTTCAGACGGATCATTCAATTTGTAATCTTCTTGCACCAAATCGATGCTGCCGACGTTCTCGCTGAACTCCAACGGTTCTTTAAGTGTAATCTTGGCTACGTCAAATGCGAATCCAGACAATTTCTCATGAATTTCTATTTGGTCTTCGGTGACTTTGATTTTTGTCGGATTGTCTGATAGTTTATTTACTATTACATAGACATATGGGGCGCCGTGCACATTATGTGCACAGGTCAAAATCTCGGTTTCCGACAAAATGATTGCATTAGAGCGTATTTGAAAATCTTCGTCGGCATTGGCATATGCTTCCTTGGTAACGGTAAGAAATTCTGTAATAGAAAAATATCCCAGGATGAGTATTGGTTTATGAAACATGAAAAATCTCCTCTTTCGCCGTCGAAAGCAAAAAATATATGAAGATTAAAAGTGACTTCAAAAACCGGATAATAAATTGATTTAATTCAAATCTCGAATGCACACTTACTTCCCGGTACCGCTATATCGGCTATGAATTTAGCTTCGTTAGGTGTAAGCGAATGTGGAAGTGGTTTTACGCTCTGAAACAAAAGCAAAAATACATTTTGTTCGCGTTATTGAAATGCAAATTGGGGCATTGAGATTAGATACCTTTGGATCATGGATAAAACCAAGGAATGACGTAATTGGGAGGAACATTCCGCGGCCACGTATTGTTCCATTTATACCCGTAGTTATGCCCACGATTTTGCCATTTATTTTTGAAACGACTGGTCCACCCGAATCGCCAAGTGTAATAATTTTGCCATCGTTCGTAGCTTCGCCAGTGGTAAAGTACAAAGTCTGAACTGAGTTAAATGTGTTGGCCCGTTCGACGTCAGATATATAGTTCGCATCGCAACGCCTCAAAATCATTGGTCCGATGTTGTTCAACACGCCATACCCATAGACAGTGACCACTTCTGATGGGTCATTCAATTTGTAATCGTTGTCCACGAGTTTGATACTGCCAACGGTATCGCTGAATTCTAACGGCGTTTTCAGTGTAACTTTGGCAATATCAAATTAATTTGGCAACAATTAAATGACTATAATGAGGGTGATATGCAATGTTCTCTTTTTCGACTTTGATTTTGATTTTTTGATTTTCGTCTGATGCAACTTTCGTACCAGCTACCACATAAACATATGGAGCGCCAGCCACACAATGGGCATTCGTGATAATTTCCGTTTTTGACAAAATAAATGCGGTACATACAATCTCCGTTTCTCTATCAGCATCAGCGTCTTTATATGCATACAAATCTTCTGTAATGAAATTGTTTCGTCTCAGTACAAGCAAAAACATACATTGTAATATTCGGTGAGTGCCACAAAAAAATATCCACACTCATCTAGTGCGTGAGAACCATAGTCACTCATTTAGTGAGTGAGACGCATACGGATGGGATGAAGCAAAGCGAAAGGGAATGTATGAGCAAAAATGAACACACAAATTTCATAGAATATTTGAATAGAAAATTCACACGAAAATAAGAATAAAAATTATTCTAAAGCTGACTTACTTGCAGGGGCATGGATTCCAGCTACAAACTTTGCCTGTGACATGTTTTCAATTACTTCGCCCTTGAGAAGAGCTTGCGAGAAAAAGCCATCTGTTCATTAGAAAAAAGAGTTGAAATTTTAAAATGAAAAATCTCTTGAAATCATAAAAAGCGTGTACGAAAACAAAATTTGTCTTACGATTTCCTTGAAGTTCCTAGAAAAAGAAATTTCGTGTTCACTTTCAATTCTACAGAAATATCGCATTTTGTTGGATAAAAATGAAAATGATAAAGGAATAGAAAAAACTTACCGAAAATTCAACGATAAATAGCACCAAAAACAAACCGTGTAGTAGATTCATTTTAATTTGCCAACGAAACAGAGTTTTAACCTCTTGCACAATGATAATTTGAGAAGAGATACTTTGAATTCGTTTGGTCTTCCCTATGCGGGGGCGCCTCTTTTATACCATTCATCTACCAATAGCTGACACGTGCACTGCAACGTATTTTTCAGTTATGGAATTTACGAATTGAGGTCTACTAATACTATGCAACAAATTTCAAAGAAAAATTTCCCCTAAAAAAGAGGAGACTCATTTCCAATGTTTTTTTGGCCCACTTAATCCAAATCTGATACGGAAAGCAATGAACGTATCTTGAAAACTAGACGTGCCAGGACAAACTAACGCCAGATTCGGATTAAGTGGGCCCAAAAATCTTTGTAAATAAGTTCCCTTCTCTGTTGTTGTTTCTTGTTGTTGCATAGTGTAATCATATTCAGACACTAAATGAAGCTCAATAACAAAATTCCTTTGATGGATACGTGTAGCTGATACAACTTGTGTAAATTGATAGCAAAAAATGGAATACGTTCGAAAACATTTTAAATTCGTTTGTTCCCCAGCTTGACTATATTCCTAACAAAAATGAAACGTCGCATGATAAACGAATAACCATTTTCGAAGATGACTTTAGCCCAACACATCAATTTTGTATTTATACAGATGGAATGAAAAAACCGCTGCGCGTGTACACCAAAGGAATTTACATGAATTCCGTTCGCTTGAAAGTGAATCGCGAAATATCTGTTGACTATAGAAATCGTGTTTCACTTTAATTGAAGCAAAAATGTACGATACACTTCCAAGTCCATTGGAATGATGACTAATCTTAATGGTGGTTTTGGTTGTGACTTGATTTCGGAGTGAAAATTAAGTGGTAGGGAGCACGAATTTCAATGTGCCGATAAAACCAACGGTGCACACAAAATACTCTATTATTTATTTATTTATTTATTTATTATTTATTTCATTCGGTATTA